GAGGGGTGGAAATATATGATGTTTTGTGCGATCTTTACTGTAAACTCAAATTTAAACAATTTTGTGTCAAAAAAATCCATGCATAGTCATGTGCTAGCCTCTCTTCCAAAGATGATAAACCACGTATATCAGGGGGTATCTGTCATTACGAATGAAAGAGCGTCGTCATCCACACGAAACAGATATCCTGTTATAACGTACCGTAGTTTACCATATTCGGCAAACTTTTAAAATGTATTACAAAGAGAAAATTTAGAAACTATATGCTTATTCTGTAAAAAAAATAATATAGATTTCATTTACGAATGAGCTATAATAAGCTACAGTAAAGTGTAAAAGGAAATAAATGATATAAAGAGTTGTACAGTTTTAAGATTCCTTGTGAACTGCAGTTAAAACAATTAACGAGAAATATTCTTCGCAGTTGTGAATTTCAGACACATTGTTTGCAGCTCTCAGGCTACATTCTAGTGAATGTTAATTAAATCTTCTCTGATTGAAGCATTATTTTATGACTAAAAAAAATTCATTTTGACTCGATGAGGGCAGGCAAATTGATCGTGAATTGTTAATTTGCTCTAAGGACAAATTAATACTGGCACGTTCGTGATTTTTTTAGTCATATAATAAATGAAAAGTCGTCTGAAAGCTCAAACAATGAAAGATTTACAGTACAAATTCATTGAAAATTATTTAAGTTGCACCCTAGCAAGTGTTTTCTGACCTTCGTTTTGTCTCACCGCATAGTTTCTCCCTTGGTTTCCTGCGAAGAGTCTCTCATATCCTTCACTTTTGTTTGCTATGGTGTATTTTGCTTCTTTCATCGCGGTGTGATCACGAACACAACTCACTCACGAGGAAGTGCCCCGGGAGAGACTCCCATATGGAAAGGACGGTTACATGCTCGTCGTCTCTGTCGCGTTCCCGAACCGAGTCCTTGTTGATAAGTATCGATCCGGAGTTCTCCGTGATCAACCACACAACTTCTGGTTCTTGATTGTTGGTTTATTTGTTGAATTGAAGTATGCGGAGAGAACTAAATTCCATAAATGAGCATTACGCAACGAAATAACCAAACGAGAGAAAATGATATAAATTGAAAGAAACAACAAAAATGAAGAACTTACGTTACAATCCTTATAATCCTTCTAGGGCGGGTAACACAGCAAATATCTAAAATATCTCCAAAATATCTCCTCTAACTGAATCTGCCCCTCGTGTGCGTTTTCTCCTTCTCCGAATACAACGATCTGGTTTCATTTAGAAAATACTATAGAGCTTACTAATAATTATTAACTTGATACGTGCGTAACGCAAGGCTT